TTGTTGGCAAATTTTTTGTCTTTGTTACAAAGTGATAAATTAGGTTATAGATGGCACCAGGCATTTGATAAGAGATTATTTGATTGGATTTTAAATTACTGGTTAATATCCGGTATTTATTTTCAAATTCATTCAGGTTCGATTTTGGAAGGTTTATCATACACTAATCCGGTTGCAGTCTCGCCAATCGGGTCACCCGGAAGACTTTTTTTTGCTGTTTCTGTCATCAACGAACATGAAAATGGACAGACACTCGTAAGTGTCTAGCTCGTTCGTTGGATCAAAGTTCGGTCGCTATGTTAACGCCCACTGGTCTGTAAGGGAGCATCCAAGTGAGAATTTAAAGGGAAGCCTTTTTTTCCTCAACGTTTGGGTTTGATCGATTCGCACTTGTTTGGCCATTTTTAGGTGAACGTTTGCCTGTGTAAAGACCCGCCCTTTTCTCAAAGGGAAGAGTGGTTGTACACTGACTATAAGGAAGCCAGGCCTGAATAATGTAATTTTATGCGTCTCTGTAGATCCACCTTCGACAGTTTCTAGGAAAACGTTTCAGTGCCATGGATCCCAAATTTATGACTGAAGAAGATATGATGTCGTGTGGTCTGTTACCATCTGCCGAGCCGCCGTCTGTTATGTCTTCAGAGGAGGAAGAAGATGAATGATGTTTCAATTTGAATTATATTTTATAGATAAAAGATAGGTTTTCTAATTACTGTGCCAGGACCAAAGCCCGGGGGAGGGGGGACTCCCTATAATGGCCTATACGGGGAGGCTCCGCCCGAAAGGGGTACGTTTTTCAGGCTTCAGGTATGTGAAAGGGTAGGGATTTCACTAGTTGAAGTTTCTGAAAGGGTAGGGAAATCTGTGATTGCGGTCTGTGACGGCCCTAAAGGGCCGGGCTAACTGCCGCATTTTTGGCTGTAAAAATGGTTTAGTGATTTATTCATACGTAGTACTTACAAGGGATGCAGCGTTCTAAAGTAAAACTAGTATTTGAAAGGGGTACCATTTGTCAATAAAAGGTACATGTAAGGGGTGCCTTTTTGCACCTTTTTGGTATATATGTTGCGGTTCAATTTTATTCGCGGATTAAATTTCGTTCTCTTTTGCTTTTGTATATGGTAATGTGTGATAAGACATGATAATTAAATTGAAACTAAAGAAAGTTAAACTTAAACCAAGGATGAAATTGAGCCACAACATATAAAAGGAGAACGGGTCGGATCTTGGAGCCGAGCCTCCCTGTATAACATATTGTTAAGTAAACCCCCCCCTCCCCCCCCCCCCCACCCCCCGGACCAAAGTTGAAACATAACAGATAAATATAATTTAATAGATCTGTTATAACATAAATTAAAAGGTTCTGATGACACCAATGCCAAGCGCCACGAAGGAAAATAGTTTCAAAGCGTGGAAAAAAATAGAAATGTTAGCTGGTGTGAGTAACAATGGCATCTCGATTGTTTATCGCTTTTTTTTAACTAGAGTGGAATCATTTTGATGATTGTATTAACAAATATCGTATAAACCCTTTACAACATACCACTGTAGTCACTGTAGAACAGTGTTACAGAGTTCTGTAAACACTAAGTTCAGAGGAACATACGATTACTTGGTTCCGCACTAGGATTATTCTCTGTTAATGACTTCTGTGCGGACTCGGTAGGGATTTATGCACTTGAAAATTACTGGATATCGAGTAAAACCTATTTCAAGAGATAGGGAATAATGCATAGGCATACTCTTAATCCCCACCTAACAAGTAGTACTCTCAAATTTTATTTAGAGTGTTTTACAAGCGATTTTCTGTAAGAACCCACAAGTTTGCAATGTTTGGAACATACACGGGAAGTGTGCTCTTGTTTTTTGCGTAAACTTTTACTGTCTTTAATATTTTGAGAGATTCAGCAAAAGTTGTGAAGTTGTTGCCAGCCATGTCGTGTAAGACCGTGAATAGCAAGTTAGAATAAGTTTAACGCCTCTCAGGCCTAGGCCAAACGTCAAACTTTTCATGAGACGAACCAAACTCTATTTTGGGTCGATCTAAATGAAGTTAAGATCGTCTGCTGGGTGACACGTCGAACTGAGGATACATTGAACCAATCAACTGAATCAGACCAAGAAGCAATTTTAGCCGAAGGAGGCTAAATATACATTATCATTCCAAATTTTTATTTATTAATTATTAGTTTAGTTTGTCGCATGTCAAGACCGACGTTTTTCCCGGAGACGATCTTCAGACGTTCTATTGGCCTGAAGCAGACGGATAGAACGTGTTGGACGTCGATCCAAACTCATTCAGACGAACTTAATTAGACCAGACGTCGAACCTTCCATGAACTTAACTCACTAATTTTGGTTCGTCTCATGAAAAGTTCAACGTTTGGTCTAGGCCTCGCTTTCCAATTTTCCTGTAATCCGAAACTTTGATTCGACATTAAACTGAGGAAAACTCTAGTATTTTGAAAGGTCTCATCGTGAAGGACACCTTACTCGTCCATGTGTGCCTTCCTCTTCAGTAATCGTGGAAGAGGAAAGAAGGTTCTGCTTAAATCGCGTCGTGTTAAGCTTTGTCGCCTTTGCATTTTTATACAAAAGTCCAAGCAATTAATTGTCTATTTAGCCTTGTGTCTATTTGTGTTAGTTATTTTTGCTATCCTTTCATTAAAAAAATCGTAACAAACTAACCTGCAATCAGGCGTTCTTTTTTCCCAAAGAAAAGGGAGGAAGGACCGCCGGATCGCAGGTAAGTAACGAGCAAGAAAAGATGAATCCATTAAGTTCAAAGCCGACGCTTCTAGAACAAAACTGGAGATGAAAACATGTATTGCAGATTTGAAATCATTTTGCAGAAGTTTACGAAATGTATAGTTATAACAAATATGAATTTAAAAAGAAGTAATAAATATAAATTAAGTATAACTTTCTTGATAAAATTTTTGCATCGACTGCACCTATATATACTTGCCACCAGACCCATGCACTCTTCGGAGGGGGAAAGGGAATAATCTGAGGTTTTCACAATTCTATTATTACCGCCTCAATAAAATCAAAATTCCGTTGGAAAAATATATCCCCGAAAGGGAGTCGTTCGGTTCTATTATTTCCCCTAAAGGGGCATTCTTCCATGAGTCACAGAGTCCATTTCCCTAAATGAATGCGAAAGAAAAACCCTCTCTAGCAGGTGTAGTGGAAATGTGGAATGACGTCATCGTGCTAATGGCGTGTTCAGCAAAGAAAGTCAAATAGAACCTATACGACCCTATACGCCACTTGCACATCTCTCATAATGCACCTTATTTGCCGCCCAAAATTTTGCATAAGCATTGTTTTTCATTTCTCCTGGGTATTACAGCCGTCCCAAGAGAAATTGAAAACAATGCTTATGCAAAATTTTTGGGGGAAATAAGGTGCATTATGGGAGATGTGCAAGTGGCATATGGGGGTACGCTAACTTGGTGGAGCTGCAATTTATGCATGTAAACCATGATGTGACATAAACTCGATAACCACGATTAGAAGCTTACGCAGGACCTCCACGTCTTCCACAGCATTGCTCTTAAGTTGGACGGAATTATTTAATCTAAAACCGACTTCTTCTTGGTCATTATAAACAGAAATCAGAACCAAAGATACCTTATTTCGTAATTAAGGCTTTTGGAAAGTTTAGTAATGTTAAAATAGTGATAAAATACTTTTACTCAACATACTCTAAGGCCCCTTTTATTTTATATGGAGAAAACCCCTTTCTGGGTAAAGGGTCACCCTGCCGAGTAAACTTTAGCGAGCGTTTATATGAGAAAAAAGTTTCCCCTTTAGGCCGAACCAACAGCGTTCGCACATGCTTTGATTTAGACCGCGACAGTGTTAGCTCAGTCGGTAGAGCATGTGACTGCAGAGCGGGAGGTCGCAGGTTCGATTCTCGGAGCCCGGACCAATACTCAGTGTCTTAAAACATCTGAGAAATGAAGGTACTCTCTTTGCACTGCAAGCGGCTTGACCTTCGCGTGGCTCGGATGACCAAGTAAAATGGCAGTCCCTTTCCCAGCAGGAGACGTAGAAATAGTGTCCCCAGTCAGTACTTTCGTGCTGAATACATTGACACTCGAATAAAGTGCATATATTTTCTCGCCTTGATCCAGTTGGCCTAGCTGGGCGCGCCAAAGTGTTTATATGGAGAAAAATTGGTCCGGACAGGAGGATGATCCTACCATCACAAAAGAATGACCCGACGAGGTAAGTCACATTCTAGCCCAACCTCGTTCCCTGGGTTCTCGAGAGAACCCTGGGAACGAGGTTGCTTCTAGCCGAGCCAGCCTTTGTTTCTCTTGTTGATGGTTCGCTTCGATTTGCAAGGAAATGTATGAAAAGTTCAAGGCTCGAGTAGACGGTGACTCTTCTACTCGGGACCCTTTTTCTCCATGTAAATGAGGCTTAAGCCGTGCCACCCTTTTGTGATAGTAGGGCATCCTTTCAAGCTCTCCGATGGTTTCATTTAAGAGATTTTACATTGAATTTAGGTTAAATGCGCCATCTTTCATGCCACAGTCGTGGAAGAAAGTAAAGAAAACTTTGTCTCGGAATTAACACGTTCTCTTTCTTTTTAGGTAGGGCGCTGACGAATATTCTTGACCTTCGCGTGGCTCATGTTTGCTGACATGTTTGCTCTTACGATTATCTGGATAAACTTAAACTGTTGAGTAATGATTTTAGCCGGCCAGACTGCGTGCCATCTTTGTGAAGTTGAGGTTAGCATATCTTAACTTTAACTCGAAGTAGTCGGCCCAATAAACCACATCTATTGCTTCCTTAACTCGGAATTTAAACAAACAATACAATACATAAATTAGCATGACATCCTTCTTTATTTGTTTCCTTGAACATAGATGAGCAGCTTATGTCATGGAAAAACTGAACGTGATTTATTGCAGGTAAGTGCAGTCTTTTCTTTGCTAGTCTAATTGACTTGAATATATTTAGGTGCTACTGACATAACCGTTTACTTTTTTCGCCGATTACTTTCATTACGTTTTACAATAGAGAAATGTAAAAGAAAAAAAAAGACGATACAAAACTTATTGAATGATTTGTTGATTACATTGTCTAAACTGCATCTTTTGTGATAGCAACTTTAATGAGCTTGATTCCATATCTCTCTCTTGCATCATTGTCCTTGTACGCTTCCAGAGTGAGTCCATTGTTTAGCGATAGTTGCTTGCTGTATCCATCAGTCTTCACGTAACCTCCGTCTTGCGCAGTGTAGCAGTACCCTCTTTTTTCATCTAGCTTGAGGGTGAAGACAAGCTGGCCAGGATAGAAGGAGTCTCTTGTTCTGGGCTCTCTTTTCCTGATTGTCTTCAAATATCTCAAAGTTTTCCCAGGGATGCCTTCAGCCCCATAGCAGGGTGCGTGGTCACGATAATTTGATTTGTCTACGATCATGAACCCAACAAACTTGCTTCCGTCTGAGACTCCAAAGATGATATCGCTGTCCGTGGATTGGCCGATACTTATGTCCATGGCGAGGGTTATTTCGATGGTCAGTGGAGTGGGTTTCTTAAAGAGACCAGGAGGAATCAAGGCAACTCTGAAAAGAACAGCATTTGCTGTGAAGCCTGTGTGGAATGTTATTTGGTCAGCGGTTGATTTTCGAGCCCTATAGATGTAGGACGCATGTGCTTCCAGCCAAGTAGGAGTCATTGTCTGTTGGTAAATCAAACCTTGCTATAAAGAAAGGAGAGAGAGAGAGAGAAAAAAAATCATTGTCAACCCATGGCGAAACTGTCAAATGCTTAAACCAAACACTGTACAGCTGACTGTGAATTTTGCTTTGTCTTTCTTACGACTGTGGCATTTGCAGCTGTTAAAACCGTTCATTTTCATTCTATTGCCTTACTAGAACCAAAGTAAAAAATTTTCCCAATCATAACAAACGAAAGCTTTGATAAAATCAATCAACATTTAAAGCAATTACATGCTGCTGGCGCTAAGCGGGAAAAAACAGAAACGATCTAATGTACTATTTAACACTAACAATGCAAGAGCCCTTCACGACAGCTTTCTGTAAATCAAAAATGCCCAGTAGACTGGTATATACCTGACACTTCCCCTGTGCACTGCAATTTTCGACGTCGATTTCGCCGATCTTGAAACTCTTTCCATGGTTGTTCTTAAAAAGAATCGGACAGGAAATCGTAGTTCTGCGTGAAAAAGAACAAAATAGTTGGGGCGCAGAATGATATTTTGTCTGAACGATAAACGTTTTTCCCGGCATTATATAGTCAATATACCGATATACTCAATATAATATACTCACCACAAGTCATATATTGTAAGATTTTTTTTACAGCCTTTTGTGAAATACATCAGTTTTGCTGCTGCGAACACGCTAGACGCATCAGTTGTGCCCAAAGTGGTCAACTAAGGCCATATTTATTCCGGCATCGCATTTGTTCAGTGGCAACTAATACCGCGACAATTCGAATTCGTGCTACAGTTATCGTTTTCTCGATTTCATTTAGCTTCACAGACAAACCATTACTAGTCTCGTAAAGAATCGGACAGGAATGCGCACTTCTACTTTTGAAAGATTAAAAATTGACTATATAAAAATATCAGAAACAAAACTTAATCTGACCGGAATTACCTTTACCCGAGTAAGACCCTGACATTCAGATTTTTACAAATACTTGTTACATTTGTCACGTATTTATTATTATTCGCAGAGCTCACAGAATACCAGTGACTGAGAAGACCGTAATATTCAGATGTTTAGCTGTGGTTAAAGCAAGAAGTTACGAAGGTAGCCAGTTCGAATTCTGTAGGTTTTCTTACCTTATGCTCAAATACGCAAGGAAAGAAACGAAGGGTAAAATCTTCAACTGCATTTTTAAGTCGTTGAAGTCCAATTGCAAAGGCGCTCAAATCAGTTTGTGAAGTGACGGGCCGTTGGTCGAGGCTAACTCTTAAATACCTCAAAAATGATGCCTGAGGCGATCATTCGGAAAAAAAAGTAAAAAACGGAAACGGAATCACGGAAACGGAAACAGAAACGGAAACGGAAACGGAATACGGAATCCGTTAAAGAAG